CGAGACAACTCCCAAAATTCTCAGGAATGGTCGTGAGAAATTCTGGAGTTGAAGGCCACACATCCAGACATTGCTCAAGGATGCTTTTCTTTCTCAAAGAAATTTATCTTATAGTCTTTATTCTTATTAAAAGAACTCCAGAGGACTCCTGCAGCTATAAATCGTGCCTTAATTCTGATTTCTCCAGGTTTCAAGTTGTATTTGGAATTGCATTCTTAATTCTCGAGAGGAATGCTGCATATAAACACTTAAGAGGATGCGATTTTTAATCCTCTATCGGGATCAAAGGAAAGCTCTACTTTGATTCAAGAGCTTTTGTTCTATAGTCTAAAAGAGGAAGAAGAATAACACTACATAGTTTTATGGGCTTTCTTTGATATTGGTACATGACTTCCCCTGAAGGTAGTAGGATCACAATCTTGATCCTTTTACTAACAGAACCCCCCAGAGTGAGATTGCTAGTATATACGCTATTCTACTGAATGGATTGCAGTCTATGAATTTTCATTCAGTTCAAATTTGACAAAGGATGTTGTTAACTATTAAGATAATATTTTAAGTATTGATATCAAAAATCCTGACAGTCAGAACAATTGATGAACAGAACGGACTCATCTCCAGATGTTTTGGGTGCTTCAACACTGGAGGTTTTTAAGAAGAGATTTGACAACCATTTGTCTGAAATGGTATAGGATCGTGATGGCAAACCTATGGCACGCGTGCCAAAGGTGGCACGTGGAGCCATATCTGTGGGCACGCGAGCGTTGCCCTAGCTCAGCTCTAGCATGCATGTGTGCGCCAGCCAGCTGATTTTCTAGCCTTGTGGGCTCACCGGAAGTCGGGAAATGGGCCATTTCTGGCCTCCAGGGGAGTGGGGAAGGCTGTTTTCACCCTCCCCAGGCTCCAAGAAAGCCTCTGGAGCCTGGGGAGGGCGAAAAATGGGCCTACCAGGCCCACAGTGCCATTGTGTGCCAAAAGTGGGGGGAGTGCGGGGGGTGTCGCAGGTACATGTACGGGGGGGCGGGGCGCATTGAATTATGGGTGTGGGCACGGGCACGCACGACCCCCTGCACTTCCCCCACTTTTGGCACACGACGGCAAAATGGTTAGCCATCACTGATATAGGATCTCCTGCCTTGAGCAGGGGTTTGGATTAGAAGACCTCCAAGGTCCCTCCCAATTCTGTTGTTCTGTTAACTGTAATCCAAGGCGGACTCTGGTCTATGACAGTAATAAATTGAATTGAATTGATTATAATCCAAGGATCATTAATGTATAGGTGCCAAGTGCTCAGAATGTATTGATAGAATGCTGACAATGAAGAAAATATTAATTGAAACATTGGGGTCATCAAAAAGAGAAGATTGGCATTGGAAGAGACCACGAGGATCACCTGATGTTACCATCTACACCAGGGGGGTCAAACTCGCCATGTCATGTTGTCGTCACGTGACGTACCATGACTTTTTTCCATTCACGGGGTGGGTGTGGCCTGCACATGACGCATCTGGCCTGCGGACTGCCAGTTTGATACCCCTGATCCTACACTATGCAAAAAAGCCAACGGAACCATTCAGAAAATAGCAAAAGCAATAGCACTTAGACTTATATACCGCTTCACGGTGCTTTACAGCCCTGAGTCTGAGTGCTTTACAGAGTCATCCTATTGCCGCCAACAATCTGGGTCCTCATTTTACTGACCTTGGAAGGATGGACGGCTGAGTCAACCTTGAGCCCCACAGGATCGAACTGCTGGCAGTCAGCAGAATAAGCCTGCAATACTGCAGTCTAACCACCGCGCCACCACAGCTCTAGATGGTTGTCCAGATCTTTCTTACAAACTTCCAAAGACAGAGAACTTACAACCTCCATAAATGAGGTGTAAATGAAATCTAAATAGCTGTACCTTACTCATTATTTCTGTCCTACTTTCTGTGGCCATGGAAAAGCGTCCATGACTGTCTTCCAGGAGTGAAATTCAGCAGGTTCTGACAGGTTCTTGAGAACTGGTAGCAGAAATTTTGAGTAGTTGGGAGAACTGGCAAATACCTCTGGCTGGCCCCAGAGTCAGGTGGGAATGGAGATTTTGCAGTATCCTTCCCCTAGAGTGGGGTGGGAATGAAGATTGTGCAATATCCTTCTCCTGCCATGCCCACCAAGCCACGCCCACCAAGCCACACCACGCCCACCAAGCCACGCCCACAGAGCCAGTAGTAAAAAAATTGAATTTCACCACTGCTGTCTTCTCTATTTTAGGTTATCTGAACACTGATAATCATATCTCCTCACAGTCTTACTCTCTCCAAACCAAACTTCCCAACCCACTTGAGCCGTTAACATCTTTCTCAGTCTCCTTTCTAATTTGTCAATATTCTTCTGGAAATAACAGTACTCAGAAGTGTACACAGTACTTCAGATGTAATCTCACTAGTACTGAGTAGAGAGAAAGAATGATTCTCTCTATGATTTGTTAAGACCTTCTGACTCCAAAAAGGCTCTGGATGGCTTACAGATATTCAAATATTTAATTAAAATGCACTTTTGCACAGAAAAGGGACTGCTACGGAGAAGGTACGCTTCCTTGGTCACCAAACGATGACAACATTTAATTGAAGGAAACTTGAATTCGACTGTCTGCTGAATACAACAGGCAGGCAGGCAGACACAACTGGAGGCAAACAATTTTGCAAGGTCCTGTCGGCCCCCTCCCCACCCCCACACCTGCCCCATGGTCGTATAGTTGTAATTTGGGTGTTTGGCATTTAAGATTGTTTCCCGTGTCCCACGGTCACGTGACTATTTTACTATTTTTTTTGTGGGAAATCAATATTTACTTCCAGTTTCTGGGAAAAATAACCCCATAACAAACACTGCAAACTGTGGATTCACCACAACAGGTAGTCCTCGACTTACAACAGTTCATTTAGTAACCTTTCAAAGTTACAACGGCAGTGAAAAAAAAAGTGACAATTTTTTACAGTTACCACCTTTGTAGCATCCCTGTGCTCATGTGATCAGAATTCAGATGCTTGGCAACCGGTTCATACTTACGATGGCCGCAGCATCCCGGGGTCACGTGATCTCCTTTTGCGGGTGCAAAAGCAAAGTGTCAACCTTGAAGTTGGCCTAACTGTGGCCATTTTCTTTTCTGTAGCTTTCGTCTTTGAAGGTTTCTCTTCGCTTTGCTTCAGGGCTGACACTGCCTAGAGCAGGGATCTGCAACCTTAAACACTCAAAGAGCCATTTGGACCTGTTTCCCACAGAAAAGAAAACACCGGGAGCCACAAAACCCTTCCCGTGCCTGACTATTTCTTGAGCAGCCACAAAATTAGCACATGTAGTTGAATTAAACATTCTGTTTTTCTTCTGAAACTTTTCTTTTCTTGGATTTATCCATGGTTGGCCTACCGGGGATTGAAAAGCTCAATAAATTGCGTGCCAATGGGTGTCGCACATTGGCGATTGTGATGCATATTTTGAGTGACAGGGAGCCGCAGCAGAGGGATGAAAGAGCCACATGAGGCTCCAGAGCCACAGGTTGCTGATCCCTGGCCTAGAGCTCCCTGGCCTAGGGAGATGGGTGTAGAGATAACGGGGTATTGTAGCCTAAATAAGATTCTTTCCCCAGGGAATCAAAGACGTTTGTGCAAGTGTTTGAAAAGTGGAGACTGAGATCACCTAGCAACTGGACTACATGCTGACTGGACCATGTGACTGGAGACTCTGGGGCAGGGGTGAAATCCAGCAGATTCTGGAGAACCGGTAGCGGAAATTTTGAGTAATTTGGAGAACCGGCAAATACCATCTCTGGCTGGTCCAAGTGTGGGGTGAGAATGGAGATTTTGCAGTATCCTTCCCCTGCCACACCTACCAAGCCACACCCACCAAGCCACACCACGCTTATCAAGCCACGCCCACAGAACCAGTAGTAAAAAAAAATTAGATTTCACCACTGCTTTGGGGAGGGAAGTGACAAAGGTTTTTTTTTAAATTGGGTGTAAAACCGGCAGGAATTTAGAGCCGGTTTTCCACCAAGTCTGTGCCGATTTGATATGTCCCAATAAAATGTTCTTGGAGGAATATGCCTGCCTCGGAGTTCTTATTGAAGGAGATGTATTACTTGGAACCTTGACCCAAAGTCAATGGGGAAGCCCGATTCACTTAACTACCTCGTTGCTAACTGAACAACTGCAGTGATTCACTTTTACAACCATGGCAAGAAAAGTCGTAAAATGAGGGCAAAACTCACTTAACAAACATCTCACTTAACAACAGAAATGTTGGGCTCCATTTGTGGTCGTAAGTCCAGGACTACCTGTGGTTTCAAAATTCTTGAAAGCCCGATAATATTTCTCTTCCCTCCCTTCTTCTTTGTACCAAAGTGGAGTCATGTTAAATTTCTTTCTGCTGTCTCTGCATTCCTGCTCCAAGGTCACGTCTGCGCTTCTCTGTGTCACGCTGCTATGCTATACTCTGTGGTTTGTTCTTATTTTGGTAAGATGATATACAAAGCCAGCTAATGCTATTCCCTCCTCGGCACTGAACACTGAACGTTGATAGAAGTGATACCGCTGGCTGGCGGATGGATGCAAGTTTTATTGTGGCCTCAACCCAGTTCATTATCTTCAACGGTTTTATTTTGTTTGCAGCCCAGAGTTCCTCCTGGGTTGATGGGCAGCAGTATGCATTTGTTTAATAAATAAATCAATAAAGCTGTGTTTTGCAAATTTTGCAGCCGCCTATGAAGGCAAGAGCCTTCTGCAACGGGAGATAGAGCTATCTTTGCCCGTGCCTGAATTTAAACATAAATATCCCCCATCCTTGTTCTGCTATCGGGAATTGTTCTTATCTTAGTAACAGCCGTGAAACCAGAAAAAGCGCAAATCCATCAAGAGAGCAATAGAAACCAGGTAGCCGTCTTAGGCCTCTGAGCTTACACAAAGAAATGGAACCAATAAATTGGCCGATCCATAAAACAGCTGCCAAAGATCAATACTCACCGTAGCTGTAAATTGTTGAGAACAGATTCTTAATCAATGGTGTGTGTAGGGGGGGTGTCTCAGGAGTCTAGGATAATAATCTCTAGCACTGCAATCGGACTTGCTCTTCTTCCTTTTGACGGCCTGAGAAAATAAATTCAGCTGCTTTTTAAGTGTTTCCGATGGTGGTACATTCCCACCCTCACCTACGTTAAGGCCAATCATGCCATGAAACATGGCTTTTAACCAATTTAATAGTGGCCTTCACAGAATGTTATGTCACCCTCGGGCAGAGACGATGAGAATGACCTGGCCTAATGTTTTTATTCAACCTCACGAAGCTGTCATTTCATTTTAATACCAGTTTTCCTTTGGAAGGAGACAAGGCTACCTTGACTTACAACAGCTCATTTGGTGACCATTCAAAGTTATGGCGGCACTGAAAAACGGTGACTTATGACCATTTTTTCATAGTTAGGACTGTTGCAGCATCCCCATAGTCACACGATCAAAATTCAGATGCTTGGCCACCGACTCATACTTATGACGGTTGCAGTCTCCCAGGGATCACGTGATCCCCTTTTGTGTTCTGCCCCAGCTACGGATCCCAAAGAATGTAGCACACACAAACTCGGAACAAAACTCAGTTTACTTCAAAACACAGTCTTTTGCAAATGCAGGCTGTTAATAAAATGTTCTTAACAACCTGCCAGAAATTCCACAGATAAGATAGTCTTACTAGAGTTGGCAGAAAGCCCAGAAGCCAGGTTTGCAGAGAGAATTCAAACTCAATGATCAACGAACGAACGAACGTTGTTTCCTGCAGCTTTTTACAAAAAAAGCTGTGTGCAAACTTAAATAGGCTAAGGGAGTGGCCAATTAGCCCCAAGCCTTACTCTTGAGGAGACCTCCTCCTGAGTAACCACTCCTGCCTTTTGGCAGCTCTGTGCGCCCGTGCATTGAGAAGAGGCTCCTCCACTTCATCCTCTTCACTTAAAGGAGCTTCTGGAGGTTCTGAAGGCCCTGGTTGAATCCCTGCCTCTGGCACCACATCTTCTTCAGCCTCCTCGCTGTCTGACTCGAGCGCCGACTGCACAGGCTGCTGGCGCGACACCACACCAGCCTCCTCGTCGTCGGGATCAGCAACAATCCCCGCAGGGCGCTGGCGGGCCACAACATTTTGCGACCTTCTGACAAGCAAAGTCAATGGGGAAGCCAGATTCGTTTAACAACCATTGCTAGTAACTTAATAACCGCAGTGATTCACTTACCAACTGTGGCCCAAAGGGTTGTAAAATGGGGTGAAACATTTGTTGCCAGTGTTTCACTTAGGAACAAAAATTTGGGGTTCAATTGTGGTTGTAAATTGAAGATTACCTGTAGTCGCAAGAACAATAGAATGAATATTGTCAGGCCCCAAGAACCAATGTAGAGTTATTTCTGAGCAGTCTATCATTCCTGCCCTGTAGCCAAACTAAAGCAACCAATTATTTGCATCACTATATACTCTGAGAATTGTTAAGGAGGAGTTGCCTTAACTCTTTTCCTTCCAAACCAAATCCCCAAAGGTGCTTTTTCAAGAGGCAGCTGGACTTTATGGCTTTTCTTTGAAGACATTTTGCTTCTCATCCAAGACCTGAAGAAGCTTCTTGGATGAGAAGCGAATTGTCCTCAAAGTAAAACCAGAAAGTACAGTTGCCTCTTGAAAAAGCATCTTTGGGAGGACAACTATGACCTGGATGATGGAGGATCTCCATAGACATTCTTCCAACCAAAACTTTGCTATCTCTTTGTCCTCTAGAACAGAATTCCTTCCTTCTGGGAATCCAGACTACATTCTATCATATCTATTCAATACAACAACTGAGCTCCTGCTCATAAGAACAATAAGCAAGGCCCTCTTGGATTGAACCCCTGACCCATCTAGTCATCATCTTAACGATCCCGTAATCCCTTGCGGGATGGAATCTGGGCAACTGAATGGATCTAGCAGAATGTTTAATGGTCGGATGTCCTTCCTGTTGCCAATGTGGAATATTGTTCAGCAGATATATTCTCAGTGTGCACACAGAGAGAAATATCTGCCTCTACCTAGGATCGAACGCACAGCCTCCTGATTGTGAGGCGAGAGCTCCACCTCTAGGCCACCTCCCTATTCTCACAGTACAAGGAGACAAGTTTCAATCCCATGGAATTTATAATTTAATATAATTTAATACTTCTAGCAATGGAACCCCCTAATGCAGTTGATGGCTAACCTTTTCCGGACCGAGTGCCCAAAGCATGCCCAAACCCACAAAATGCAATGCACACATGGCGCCCCGCATGTGCCCCGCTCCCTGTGCATGCACATGCAGCCCCCCGTGCATGCACACATCCCACATGTGCCTCACCACCATGCAACCCCCCCGCCCCCCACACATGCACGGCAGAGACCTGAAGACCAGTTTGCTGGTGGGAGTCATGCATGCATGCACAGCGGAGCTCAACTGGGGTGACGGCTCATGTGCCCACAGAGAGGGCACTGCCTGCCACCTCCGGCATGAGTGCCATAGGTTTGCCATCACATCCCTAAAGAAAGAAGCAACATTGAGTTGGGGCAGACAGCCTCTGAAGGGAAGAAACTAGAGGTAGTTTTCAACTTACCACAATTGAGCCCAAAATTTCTGTGGCTAAGTGAGACAGTTGTTAAGTCAATTTCCCCATTTAATGACCTGTCTTGTTACCTTTGTTAAGAGCAGCTGTTAAGTAAGTAACATGGCCGCTAAGTAAATCTGGGTTCCCCACTGACTTCGCTTGTTACGGAGTCACAAAAGGAGGTATCACCTGACCCTGGGACACTGGAACCGTCATAAATATGAGACAGTTGCCAAGTATTGAATTTTGATCACATGACCATGGGGATGCTTCAAAGGTTGTGTGAAAAATGGTCATAAGTCACCTTTTTCAGTGTCATCGTAACTATGAATCGTCACTACACTGTTTCCCTGAAAATAAGACATCCCCTGATAATTAGCCCAATTGGGCTTTTGAGTGCATGCGCTAAAATTAGCCCCCCCTGAAAATAAGCCCTCCCTAAAAATATTTAAATGCATGCACAGCCAGTCCCTGCCATTTCCTCTGGTTTCCTCCATGCACCCCAAAATAATAAGACCTCCCCAAAAATAAGGCCAAGCACTTATTTCGGGGTTCAAAAAATTATAAGACAGGGTCTTATTTTCGGGGAAACACGGTAAATGAAGTATTGTTAAATCGAGGATAATCTGTATCTTAAGAGTGAAATGGGAAGAAGCATGGATGATAGAAGTAGTGGGATTCAATTTCAGTTCACTTGTGAGCGCATGCTTGCACGCGTGATGCTTCTGTGCATGCGCAGAGACATCCGGGTGGGTGGGCAGAGCCTCCCACCACCGCCAATACCAGTTTGCCCGATCCGGGGCGAACCGGTAGCAACCCACCTCTGGATGATAGCATATCTACCAGCCTGTATTCCCTTGTGGTCTTTATTTGTATGGATTGACCCAGGTGCCAATCAAGTTCTGCTTTGGATAGCTTTGATAGTCATTTCTCTATCCTGCACAATTCTCAGGTTCAGTATTAAAAAAAAAGGGGGGGGGAAATGGAGCGAGTAGGAGAATTTAATAGTGGCAAAGTCTTAATCACCTTGAGACAAATCAACCTTGCACCCTTTATCTCCCCCAACCCAACCTAAGTTCATTATTTTGGCGTGGGATGTCCATCTGTTATTTTGAAACAGGAAAAACCAAAAAGATGAAAGTCAATTAAGACTTGGCTGAGATCATGGGGAAAGCCTACATCATGCTCCAATTCTCTTTGCCATCTGGCAGCCGTGAGAAGTTGGCAGGAGACCATCTATTGATCTTCAGGAGAGCAACAGTTCTTGATCGCTTCTCTTTTCTCATCTCTGCTTCATCCTGTGTGCTATTTGATAGCACCACTTAGACACGAGCATAGAAGCTGCGGTCCAAGGAATTGCGTGATTTCCTGACTGTCCAAGAAATGTATCCAGCTTGCATAATGCATATCTAGCTTACACAGAATTAAGTATTTTAAGGGAAAGAACTACTGGATCATAGCAGATCTTGATCTCAGTCCTGAGCCCTTGTTAGAGACATCAAATAGAAAACAGTTTGAGATACTTAGGATCCATTGTAGTGCTGCATAGGTGAGCCAGTGATCCAGCTCAGAGACCACTTTCACACACTTGGCTGAATCCAGGGTGAAATCCAGCAGGTTCTGACAGGTTCTGGAGAACTGGTAGTGGAAAGTTTGAGCAGTTCGGAGAACCGGCAAATACCACCTCTGGCTGGCCCCAGAGTGGGGTGGGAATGGAGATTTTGCAATATCCTTCCCCTGGAGTGGGGAGGGAATGGAGATTTTGCAGTATCCTTCCCCTGCCACACCCACCAAGCCACACCATGCCCACCAAGCCACGCCCACGGAACTGGTAGTAAAAAAATGGATTTCACCACTTGCTGAACCATAATATGGATTATGGCTTAACACAAATCCAGGCTTATCATAGAATTGGAAGTGATCAATTGGAAGGTCAACAAGACCAAGCCCCTGCACACTGCGAGATTCACGACACTATTCCTAGTAGATTACTATCCAAGTTCTGTTTGAAGGCCTCCAGTGAAGATGAAATAGCCCCTCTATGAACTAACCTCTTCAACTCACTTGACTGCTCTTCAAAATGTTCTTCCTAACCCGTATCTACATCCCTTACCCCATTAGTTTTAGCCTTGATGTTCATCCACCGTGTTCGAAGAGGACCTTGACATCTACCGTGTTTCCCCGAAAATAAGACCCTGTCTTATATTTTTTTGAACCCTGAAATAAGTGCTTGGCCTTATTGCCATGCACTCAAAAGCCCAATTGGTCTTATTATCAGGCGATGTCCTATTTTGGGGGAAACAGGGTAACAGGTTGTGGCAGTGGTGGATTGCCCTGGTTCGCACCGGTTCTATAGAACCGGTAGTAAAACCAGCGGGAGGCTCCGCCCACTGACCCTGACATCATAAAAACGCTTCTGCGCATGCAGCCCCGTTGCGAACCGGTAGTAAAGGTAAGTAGAACCCAACCCTGGGTTGTGGGTTATCCACAATGTTTCCGCAGGTGGCTGGTAAGGCCTATACAGGCACGGAATGTTCTGCCACATGTCGGGCAGACATGTGTGGGCACCATTGTTGCAGCATTTGCAACTCTGGCTTTATGGAGTGCTCGCTTATCTTGTGCTATGGTCCTTCTGTCCTCTGATGTCTGGCAGCCATCAGCGTGTGCCATGTCGATCGATCTTGTGCCAGGGTTTCCCAGGAGGTGGTGTCGATATCCAGGGACTTGAAGGAGGCCTTCAACATGTCTTTGTATCGCTTCCTTTGTCCCCCCCACGCGATCGCTTTCCTTGAGACAGCTCACCAAAGACGAACTGATTAGAGATGCGATGGTCTGGCATCCTTGCAACATGGCCTACCCAGCGTGTCTGGGTTTTCATCAGCAGGGTGTGAACCGATGGCAGGCCTGCTCTGGAGAGGACTTGTGTGTCTGGCACCTTGTCCTGCCACCATCTGGTTTTAGTCTTACCATCTGGAACAAGTCCTATCCCAATGCAACGTGGCATGACAACTCTTCAAATACTTGAAGACAGCTATTAGGTCTCTCTACCTTCATTTCTGGAAGCTTAACCTACCTAGGTTTTTGAATTACTATCCATGCTAACATACCTAGGTCTTTAAAGTTTCACCTTCTCTGAACTTCTGACACCCATTGAGCCGAGGACAATAACAATAACACTTAGACTTATATACCGCTTCATTGTGCTTTACACAGCACTCTCTGAGTGGTTTACAGAATCAGCATATTGCCCCAACAATCTGAGTCCTCATTTTACCAATCTCAGAAGGATGGAAGGCTGAATCAATCTTGAGCTGGTCAGGATCGAACTCCTGGCAGTGAGTTAGCCTGCAATACTGCATTCTAACCACTGTGAGCCACCACGGTGAACATAGTGAAAATTTATATCCATGCAATAATGTAGAATATGATCACTGTGCACAGAGAATTAATCAGGTTCTGAGCAGTTATTCAGGATTTCTACCTGGTCAGATTTCCTATCTGCTTGCTTGCTGTGATATTTTTGAAGAGCAAACTCTGTAACCCTTGTAGAGTTTCTTGGATGGTTCCCTTTTCTGCATTTCCTGGGCTTCTGTTCAGATAAATCCACGAAGGTTTAGGTCACCAAATCTACAAATCAGGATGAGCATCAGATGACAGCAAAGTTACTCAAAGCTCCATATTAATTTCTGCAGCCTGTCTGAATAGTCCTAATCAAATTATACTGTAATTTTCCTGCCATTGAGCCCTGACACATTGTGGTTTGAAAAATATGGTTTAGTACATGGATGTGCAGTTTGTTCTGGGACTTTGTTCTATCTAGGCTTTGGAGTAGACTGCTAGAAGTACATTCCAAATAATAATTGGGTCAGGAAAACAAATGAAAGATGGATGATATGATTACTATCCAGCTATATATTTCATGCATTTCTTCTGTCACAGGCAGGTGAGTTAGATGGCAGTACCTGAGAATCCTGCCTGGCCTCAAAAAACTATCAGAGTTGGGCCTATCTAGTCTTTGAAGGGAGATCATCACAATTGTGGGCTCGACTGGAAAGTTAAAAAAAAAATCCAGAAAACTACCTGTTTCTGATCCACCTTTATCTCGTGCTAAATTACAATTTGGCAGTAATGTTTGAAGATCTCAGGAGGCTGCACACCAGGACCCGAGGAGCCATAAGAGAGGCCTGGATGGGATAATAATAACAACAGTAACAGAGTTGGAAGGGACCTTGGAGGTCATCTAGTCCAGCTCCCTGCTCAAGCAGGAGACTTATACTAGGGATTCGAACCGCCGAACTGCTGACCTTTCTGATTAACAAGCTCAGTGTCTTAGCCACTGAGCCACCTAGCCAGGTATTTTCCATTGCTGGAACAATGTGCTGATGCATCTCAAGCCAATGCTGGTTTATCCGGTAAACCATAGTTGATCAAATTTTATTTTAATGCAGTGTGCAAATGAAGCCAGAGAGAAGTTTTTCTCATTCGTTGAGCTCAAATGGGTTTCCTCTGTGGCTCCTTGGATGACTGGGCAAGAAAGAATATTGTGTACTTGGGTGTTCTGACTTAATGGGTGACAAAGCACATTCTCGTCTTTGTGTATCCTCTCAGGCATGCTTCCCAACTCCATCTCAACCAAGGAAGCTAGGAAGATCACCAGGTGCTCCAGCTGTGCGCCCCAAAAGAATAAATGCCTGTTTTGACAGGCCCTGCACTGAGCATCAGAAATGGGAAGATTGCTGGTTGTAAAACATCTGTTCAAAGAAAGGCAACAGAGCTGAATTCAGAAGAAAGGATGATGCTTAAGCTTTTGAATACCCATCTATGATTCATTTTATTTAGCAGCAACTGTGGCTGGAATGGGTTAAGCATTTTTCTTCTTCTGGGTTCCTGGTATGTTTTTTTTTACAGAAAGACCGGAGAGAATCCATCAATTTGGAATTTACTAGACCTCTTTTCTATTTGTTTTTTGTTTTTTTTAATTTGATTTATATGCCGCCCTTCTCCGGAGACTCAGGGCTGCTTACAATGCGTTAAGCAATAGCCTTCATTCTTTTGTATATTTATACAAAGTCAGCTTATTGCCCCCACAAACTGGGTCCTCAATTTACCTACCTTAGAAAGGATGGAAGGCTGAGTCAACCTTGAGCCTGGCGAGATTCAAACCTGCAGTAATTGCAGACATCTGGTCTTAATAACCAGCTTAATAACAGGGTGCCTTAGACCACTGTACTACCAAGGCTCTTGAACGGTTTAATGAACAGGTCCTCAAGTTTGTTTTTGCAAATATTCGCTGGAGATTATGTGCATATCCATGTATCTCCACCAGTAGGGGGCAACAGCTGGTTAACCATGGCCCCCTTCTGGAATTAGAATAGAATAGAGCTGGAAGGGACCTTGGAGGTCTTCTAGTCCAGCCCTCTACTCAAGCAGGAGAACCTATACTACTTCAGATAAGTGACTGTCTAGTAGTCTCTTCTTAAAAACCTCCAGTGATGGAGCGCCCATGATTTCTGAAGGCAAAGCTGTTCCACTGGTTAATTGTCATCGCTGTTAGGAAGTTTCTCCTTAAACACGAATGAGAGATTAAGAGGAAATCACAGGCAGATAAGATACACATGGAAGTTAAAAAAAATAATAAAAGTCCTAAAGCGAATGGCAGACCATCACCATACTATCCCAAAAGTGCTTTTTCAAGAGGCAACTGGACTTTTTTTTTCCTTTGAAAACTTTTTATTCTTTGAAGACATTTTGCTTCTCATCCAAGAAGCTTCTTCAGGTCTTCTTCAGAGGAAATCCAGTATCCAAAGACATAAAGGAGTATTAAAACCCAATAAGCCCAGTTCGTTCACCAAATGCTGAGGAATGATTGTGTTGAATGCCGAACTAAAAATCAAGACACAGTATTCTCATGCCTTGGGATGTGGTGGTTCAGTGGCTAAGATGCTGAGCTTGTCAATCGAAAGGTCGGCAGTTCAGCAGTTCGAATCCCTAGTTCCGCGTAATGGGGTGAACTCCCGTTACTTATCCCAGCTTCTGCCAACCTAGCAGTTCGAAAGCATGTTAAAAATGCAAATAGAAAAACAGGGACCACCTTTGGTGGGAAGGTAACAGCGTTCCATGCGCCTTTGGCGTTGAGTCATGCCGGCCACATCACCACGGAGACGTCTTCAGACAGCGCTGGCTCTTCGGCTTTGAAACGGAGATGAGCACCGCCCCCTAGAGTCGGGAACAACTAGCACATATGTGCGAGGGGAACCTTTACCTTTTTATTCTTCTCCTCCAGGTGTGCCAAGCTAAGATGAAGCCGTTTTGACTTTTGCTTGTCAGAAACTGGTTGGGAAGGTTACAAATGGGCGATCACGTGACCTCGTGCAACTGTCATAAATACATGCCAGTTACCAGCACCCAAATTTTGATCATGTGACCATGGAGATGCTGTAAGGGTTGCAAGTGAGAAAACCATTCATAAGGCACTTTTTTTCAGTACTGTTGTAACTTCGACCAGTCACTAAATGAATGGCTGTAAGTCCAGGACTACCTGTACAGCTGATGATGACAGAGACACCCATTTGGCTCAGGAAACAGCAGGATGTGTCCATGGGGTCAGCAGGACCTGATCTCCATCCAAGGAGACTTAATATTTCGACCCCCTAAAAAATCCCACCTGCCAAGAAAGGGGGGAGGAAGCCACCTTTGATCCCAGAAAGGACAGAAAAGCCCAAACAGATCCAGTAGATTGTACATCTAGTCCTCAACTTGCAACAGTTCATTTAGTGACCATCACACTTACTACCGCAGCAGCACCCCCATGGTCAGGTGATCAAAAAAGAGCCTTGGTAGTACAGGGGTTTAAGGCACCCTGTTATTAAGCTGGTTATTAAGACCAGCTGCCTGCAATTACTGCAGGGTTCAAATCTCGCCAAGGCTCAAGGTTGACTCAGCCTTCCATCCTTTCTAAGGTAGGTAAATTGAGGACCCAGTTGTGGGGGCAATAAGCTGACTTTGTATAAATATACAAAAGTATGAAGGCTGTTGCTTAGCGCATTGTAAGCCGCCCTGAGTCTTCGGAGAAGGGCGGCATATAAATCAAATTAAAAAAAAAATAAAAAATTCAAACGCTTTGGCAAGCATTTCCTAGTTATGACGGTTGGATTGTCCCAGGTATGTGTGTGTGTGTGTGTGTGTGTGTGTGTGTGTGTGTGTGTGATGTCATCAGCTTTTGCAACCTTCCGACAAGCCAAATCAACTGGGAATCCGGCTTCACCACCATGCGACTCCTGTAAAAATGGCAGAGATTCACTTAACGAGAGCGGCAAGGAAAGTCGTACAACGGGGCAAACTGATTCAAGAAATGTTTCTTTTCTCCCCTTAGCAACGACGGTGGTCGTAACTCGAGGACTACCTCCTAACGTGTTTTCCGAGGGCCCCGTTGGCACCACTGGAAAACCTGTCATTTGGGGACCATTTATCTACAGATTTCCTCCCCCCTCCCTCCCTCCACACAAACACATACAGATAGACCCCAGCAGCCTGAGAAGAGTCTGAGGGACCAACGCCCCATCCGACCCTTTCTGGCTGGAGAAGCGCCGAGCGTCGAAAAAAAAACCTCGCTCCCACTTCCCTTGTCTCCATCAGGGTTTCTCCCCCGTCACCTCCCGACAGCCTCCATTCACACGACCTGCTCCCCACACCGCCACCCGTTTTCTCCGCATGCCCGGTGCTTCCCTCCGCCGGCGGAGGCAGGCAGGCAGGCCGGCCGACCGAACCTCTATCTCTCTCTCTCCCCCTACACACACACATACACACACACCAGCCTTCCCCGCAACCAGCTGGCCGGCAGAACGTTGACAAGGAATCCCCGGGGCCGCCCTCGCCACCAAAGCGCCCGGGGGAAGGGAGGGGGAAGGGTGGGCTTCCCCGGCCAGCCTTAAACCTGAGGGACGCTCCCTTGGAACAAGAAGGGGACGGGGGGGGGAGCGTCTCTCTCTCTCTCTGTGTGTGTGTGGTGGGGAAACCCCTCGCGCCGCCTCAGCGCCCTCGCTCGCCTTCCTCCCCCCCCCACGAGACCCTGAGGGAAGCTGAGGCAAGCGGCGAAGGAGGGAAAGGGATGGATAGGGTGGGGGGGGGGGGGCTGCCGCGCGCAAACAGGAGACCCCCCACGCGGTTCAGAGAACGGCCACGCCCGGCGGTGAGGCGGAGCTGAGGGGGACGTCGTCGTCGTCGTCGTTGGCGGTGAAGGGGAGTTGGGGGGGGGGGAGGCTGGTGAGGCAGAAGGGCGGCCGCGGGGTGGTGGTAGTGGGGGAGGGGGGGGGAAAGGACGCCGGCTGGTCCAGAAGCCCGCGATGCTCCCGCCTTCCTCGTCTCCTTCCTCCTCCTCTTCTTCTTCCTCCTCCTCCTCCTCCTCTTCCCTCAGGGCCAGGCCGCTCGTCCAGGTGTGGCCGCAGATGATGGTGATGCCGTTGCTGCCGCCGCCGCCGCCGCCGCCCCCCTCCCGCCGGAGCTGATGCTCCCCTCAGGCGAGGCGGGAGCCCTGAGGCAGGGGGAGCGCGGCTTCCCTCTCCCCCCCGGCCCCGCCCTGCCGCCGGGGACCCCCCGCCGCCCCGGCGGAGGAGGGAGGAGGAAAGCTCGGACCATGGCCTGGGGCTCCCCCCCGCGGCCGCTCTTCCTCCTCCTCCTCCTCCTCTTCCTCCTCTCCTTCCCGCTCTCGCTCACCCCGAAGGAGCCGGGCAGAAGCGGGCCGAGCAGGCGAGGGGCAAGATGGGCGTGAAGTCCCGCAAGGCAACTACTCCGGCCGCGGAAACCCCGGCGGTTCCCGGCGGGGTGTTGGAAAGCAAAACGGCCGGAGGGGACCTGGCTTCGGCCGGCGACTTGGAGCAAGGCACGTTGGCTCTGGGCGCCTCCGGGGCTGACCGGGACGGGGCCCTGCTGCTGGAAGGGACGGGCAGGGAAGGAAGCGGGAGGCGTTCGGCTCCCGCCATCGGCTTGCTGGCCAAGACCCCGCTGAGCCGGCCGGTCAAGAGGAACAACGTCAAGTACCGCCGGATCCAGACCTTGATCTACGACGCGCTGGAGCGGCCGCGGGGCTGGGCGCTGCTCTACCACGCCTTCGTGTGAGTCCCGGGGCGGCCCGCGGGGAGTCCGAGCAACCCGAGCTGAACCCGAGAAGCGGGGACGGAGCGCGGAGGGCGGCGTGGGCAGCCTGGTGCACGGGGCTGTTCGCACGTTCCCGGGGAGCGGGGAGGAAAAGGAAACCCGAGTTAAGCCACCGGCGTCCGACGGGGTAGCTGAGAGCTGTGTATTTTGGCTCTTGTAGGATTATAATCCTCCTTCAGGAAAAGCCTGCATCTGCATTCAGACATGCTTCTGATGGACAAGTGCATTTTCTCTTTCCCTCTTTCTCTTCTTTCTTTCTCTCTCTCCCCTCCCTCCCTCCCTTTCTAGTCTCCTCTGAGTAAGGCTGTGTTGACACCTCTCTAGGTTACAACGTGGTAGCTAGGGAGTCCACTTGTCTTTTGGAGACGGCAATCGTCCCTCAAGAAAAGCCCCATCACATCCTCGGGTGCACGTCTGCATTCAGACATGCTTCTGATTGACAAGTGCATTCTCCCTCTCCCCCCCTCTTCTTTCTTTCTCTTCTCTCTCTTCTCTCTCTCTTCTCTCTCTTCTCTCTTCTTTCTCCTCTCTTTTCTTTCTCCTCTCTCTTCTTTGTCTCTTCTTTCCCTCTTTTTCTCTCCATCTTTCTGAGTTTACACCACTCTAGGTTAAAACATGGTAGTTATGGATTCCCATTTTTCTTCTGAAGACTGCAATCATCCTTCAAGAAAAGCCCCATCACAAAACCCATCACAAATCATCCTTCAAGAAAAGCCCCATCGCATCTGCATTCAGACATGGTTCTGATTGACAATCTCTCTCTCTCTCTCTCTCTCTCTCTCTCTCTCTCTCTCTCTCTCTCTCCTCTCTCTTCTCTCTCTCTCTCTCTCTCTCTCTCTCTCTCTCTCCCCCTGTCTCTTCTGAGTAAGGCTTTACCACCCTTCTAGATTAAAATGTGGTTGAAGACTGCAATCATCCTTCAAGAAAAGCCCCATCACATATTCTGATGCACATCTGCATTCAGACATACTTCTGACTAACAAGTGCATTCCCTTCCTTCCTTCCTCCCTCTCTCTCTCTCCTTTCTCTCCTTTCTCTTTTTCTCTCTCTTCCCCACCTGTCTCCTCTGAGTATGGCTGTGTTTACACTCCTCTAGGTTAAAACGTGGTTGAACACGCTATGGACTCTGTATGTCTTGTGAAAGCTACTAATTTCCTTAATTTTATGGTTCAGTATTTAGGTATTTGGTTAGTTTAGGAAACCATGATGTCCATTTCGAGTGTTTTAGGGTGTTTTCAGAACAGAATCCGGGTAGGGTGAAGATTGCATGCTCTCAAATGCATATGGCAAAATGACATCACTGGATTTTGGCAAAGATTCCTGGAATCTAAACTTGGAATAAGCATTCTACATATTTGGGGGAAAAAAAACCCACCCAAACCTCTACCCTTATTAGAAACTGTACTGCATACAGATTGCAAATCATTATGCTGTATCCCAATGGATGAAATGCTAGTTCAAGATGTCTAAGAAATGGCTTTTCCCCCCCTCCCCAAATAATAGATTGCTTCCTTTGGCCACAGGAGCACATGGTTTTTATTTGCTTCTCAAAAGCGGAATGCTTGAAAAATGTGCAGGTGGGAGATGCAAAGGTTATGACAATGCCCTGTTATTGTGGTCGCATGGCAATGAGCATGTTTTCGTGAAAGTCTGAAGCGCATAAGGTGATGGGAGGGATTTGCCATAGAAACCGGGGCATTCAATAACGGAGCCAGTGTTGCTTTATCACTCGGTTTGAGCCCCTGGGCAACTTGTCAGCAAAAAAAAAACAAAAAACAAAATTACTCAGGGAATTTCCTAAGGAGCCATCCCATACTGCTATGAATAAAAAATAATAATTATAAGGGCTTTCCATCATTTAAATCCAAAGCAATCTGTTCTTTTCTCCTTAGTACCTAACTGTGAAGGTACAAACTGGTGCAAATGTTATCTTGTCAGGTTCCAGAGACAAATTTCATTTTGTTCTAGAGTCAAAAGATCATTGAAGAAGGTACCTATTAGGTTTATATTAAAGGAATTGCCATCCACGGAAATCTACACAGTCTACATATAAATTTACAGGCAAAAAAATAAATAAATGAGATTTTACTTGTGGTCTGAAGTCTGCAAACAGTTCAGGGAAGCCGTTCTGTTTGCAATTTGATCGTGTCTAGGTGTGTTGCCATTGTATTTGAAGGCTGTCTGCAATATCATGGCTAATTAGAAATTATTTAAATTGGGGGTCCAGTTTGGGGAATTCCATATTAAAGATTTCTGCATCTTGTATGCTTTAGAACTGGGCACAGTGCAGGATTTGGGAAGACTAAAACTAACTGTGCCAGCTAGGCCAGTGTTTCTCAACCTTTGACAACACAGATTCTTTAGTGCTATAACTTTCTTCATCCCCATAATATATACAAAGATGTTTTGATCCAGCGGTGCCTGGAAATCCATGCCTTCAATTATGTTGTTCCAGATTTTCTTTTTTGCGCATGATAACTTTGTATCGAGTGGTGTTTTTCTTAGGCAAGATACAAGATTAGCAGATTAGAATTTGTTTTTCTTTTATCCCAACCCATTCATGCATGTTGCAGTTTTGGAAAATTGTAGTTCCAACATTACCAGAGGACATAGTTTTTGGAGATTGGTTGGGTTCAGACATTGTGCTAAAGCAAGACTTGTTTTAATTGAGGCGCGTGCCACTGAGTAACCTCTGTAGTAACACTGGAGTACTGTAAAACAGATAATCAAGAGAAGCAGAAAGAAGAGAGTGATTATCTCAAGTTTTTAAAAAAAAAAATAGTAAAAGAAGTATAGCTCTGCTGCATTTGTCCTATTGAAAGGAATGATTGTTTGATCATGACTATAAATAGTCACTGTTTATTATTCGTAAATGATATACTTTGCACAAATTGTAGCAATTTATATGTGATCCTTTATAGATCCAGTTACCCTGGTTCAGCTCAATGCTGCAGACATCCAGTACAGGTAGTCCTTGACTTACGACCAAAATTGAGCCCAATTTTTCAGTTTTTAAGTGATAAATTTGTTAAGTGAGTTTGGCCCCATTTTACGACTTTCCTTGCCAAATTTATTAAGTGAATCACTGAAGTTATTAAATTAGTAACACGGTTGTTAAGTGAATCTGGCTTCCCCATTGACTTTGCTTGTCAGAAGGTTGCAATCATCACCCCAGGATGCTGTAACCGTCATAAATAGGACGCTGCCAAGCGTCTGAATTTTGATCACATGACCATGAGGATGCAGCAACGGTCATAAATGTGAAAAATGGTCCTAAGTCTCTTTTTTCAGTGACGTCGTAACTTTGAATGGTTGCTAAATGAACTGTTGTAAATTGAGGACTACCTGTAGTATTTGGAAGTTGTTGGACTACAAGTCCCAGAATTCAAATGCTCATGCCCAGGATGGCTACGGATTCTGGGATTTGTTGTCTCAATAATGCTGTATTTTATTTGTTAGATTTATATATCTCCAAGAGATATAAGGTAGTTGTCATACCAAGGTCTCATACATAGCATCGCCTTTTCTCACTCTTCCACAGAACCATCTTAGAGGATAAATCAGGCTGAGAATGTTGGCTTGGCCCAAACTCAGTCTGCAAGTTCCAGAGCAGAAGACGGAATTGAACCTGGGTTTTTCCAGTTCTAGACCCACACTACACTTGCTCTCATTCGTGGGATGCTAATTGAAGAAAGCTACACTACTGTATTCTAGACCAGGAACAGAAAGTCAACGTATTATTAATGGGAAGACTGTAGTATCTAACATCGTTTTCTCGCATAATTTGAATACGTGAAACTCAGTTTAATAGGTCATTAACCTAAGCTTCGATTGTTACTTGAGCTGCATTGGGGTTCGGCGCTGGTTCTCCATTCTGCAGTGATTATTTGCAAAAGAGATAGTGGTCTTGGTAGGATATAGGAGATGTTCCTTTAGAGAGCTTCAGGTGAAGCCGTTGAGAGAGCCCCTGGATCACAATGGCTAAGGGTCTTTTTAAAAGAAAATTGGTTATATCCATCCAGTAAATGTAAGAATACTACTTCCTAACCAGAACTTATCATAAAAGCATCCACATCAGAAATATTGCTCCATAAAATTTCCAAAAGCTCAGTAATACGTAAAGTGGATCAATGAATAGATAATCCAGAAGTCAGATCCTCCTTGGTCTTCTTTGTTAAACCTTGTAGGTTTTCCTGCCTAAGCAGGGGTTGGACTAGAAGACCTCCAAGGTCCCTTCCAACTCTGTTATTCTATTCTATTCTATTCCTTCTTTGACCTCATGTCCCCTCACTGCCTTAGTATAGTTGCGTTGGCTTAGAATCCTAGTTTGTATAATGGAGGGCATCAAGTATGGAGGGCACCAAGTAGGGACAAGTATTCAGAAGATATTAGGATGTTGCTGGTATTTATGATAGCAGATGGGCGTTCTCTGGACCAGGAGCTAGGCAGGATCAACCTGAGTTTATATTTGGGTGAGTGGTCTACAAAATATTAGCAGAGTGGTGGGCTAGGGTGGAACTTGAAAGAATTTCCTGGAAGGTCACTTCCATGTTTTATGCCAAGGATACTACATGGATCATGTATCCACGAAGCCACCAGAAGTCTACTTCAACTTGGAGAAGACTTTACCTTTTATGACAGTGAACCAGGGGTGAAATTCAGCAGGTTCTGACAGGTTCTGGAGAACCGGTAGTGGAAATTTTGAGTAGTTTGGAGAACCGGCAAATACCACCTCTGGCTGGCCCCAGAGAGGGGTGGGAATGGGGATTTTGCAGTATCCTTCCCCCAGGAATGGGGAGGGAATGGGGATTTTGCAGTATCCTTCCCCTGCCACGCCCACCAAGCCACACCACGCCCACAGAACCGGTAGTAAAAAAATGTGAATTTCACGAATGCAGTGAACCATATTCAAACAATGATGCTCAGAAACAAGGCAAGACTAGGTATTTTTTCCCCC